GGGGGGGGAGGAAGGAGAGCAGACGGTCAGGGCAGGAGGCAGCCTGGGTGGTGAGAGGCAGGGAGGGGTGGAGGGCTTGCAAGGGAAGGCCCTAGCCGCCTCTCCTGCCTCTCGCCCTCCTCCTCTGCCTTCTGTTCTGCTTCCTCAGGCGGGGGATATAGAACTTTTGACCAGTTAAAGGTCAGCTCATCCTGCAGGGACAGAGGGGCCCCTGTCTGGAGACTGAGAGACTGGCCCTCTGCTGGGAGGGGGAGCTGGTCATGGCTCTGCCCCTTTCCCCAGCCTGGCCTGACGGGGCCTGGGCCTGGGCCTGGAGCTGTGCCCTGGAGGAACCCGCCTCTGCTCCTGCTGTACGCTCCCTGCTGCTGGGTCCCCCACAGGCACAGGAGAGCGAGCTGAGACCCACATGGGGCAGTAGTGGTGACCAGATTTCAGTTCAGCTCTTGGCTGGTAGTCCTGATCCTTCTGAAAGGTTTTCGATTCTGGGGCCAGAGGTAAAAGCATTTTCCTTTGGCTAATGGTCAAAAGAGGGAAGTGGGAGGTCTGTGTTGGTCTCCCTAGTGGTGGGCAGGTTCCTGTGCCTCAGTTTCCCCTTGCGCTACTGGGTTAAGGGTGCTTGACCTCCACTCCAGGGTGCTCAGGAGATGGCTCCAGCTGGAGCCTGGGAGGGAGGGAGCTTGGCCGTCCTTGGAGTGGTCTTAGGCCTGGGGGTGATGGCCTCACGGGGTGGTGTGGTGTTCAGGGAGACTCTGCCTGCTCTGCAGTGGTCCTAGACCAGGCAAGGCTGCTGACCATGTGGAGTTATCATGCAGTGGGTAAGCCTGTGTGTTTCAGAGCCACATTGCCTGGTTCAAGTCCCAGATTTCCCATGTATTTGCATGGCTTTGGTCAGATTATTCGTCCTTTCGGTCATCTTAGTTTCCTCATCTACAAACTGGAGACAATAATGTTACCCATTTCACTGACTATTGCGGCAACCTTCCTGAGAGGCAGTTCAGCCCAGTGGTTAAGAATGCAGCCTCTGGAGCCAAACCAACTGGCTTCAAATCGTTTGACAAGATGCCATCCCTTGGAGCCTCAGTTTGCCCTGCTGAAAAATGGCGATTTAGCCAACAAATCGCTTTTGAGCACCTTGTGGGCAGCAAGACCTGAGGAAGGCCTGCCTGCGGGTGTTTCCTCAGGAGGCCCTGACACATCAATGATGACTGTGGCCAGCATCTCAGGGGGCTGACACATGGCTAAGGGAGAAGGGCTGGATCTCAACCACATGCTAGCCACGGAGCCACAAACTTGGTAGTTGCCGTCTCATTTGATGCATCAGTGCCCAGCCCATGAGGTGGGCACTATTATTAGACCCGGTTGGGGAAGCTGGGCACCAAGGGGTTAAGTACCCTGCCTGGGGTTGCCAAGTTAATCAAGAGCAGATCTGGGCATGAAGCCACTGTGCTGCCCACTGTGCCGTCCTGGGTTGACTGACTTCCCCAGGGGCCTGCTCTGGGCATCTGGCTCTGTGGTAGCACTGGGTCTCCACTGAGCTTAGGAGAGTGCCAGCCCCTCTCTGACGCCCACCTCTTACCCTGGACAGACAAGGAGACCCCTTTCCTGACTCTTGGGAAGAGGGAGGAGTTAGGTGAGGGGCTGGAGCAAGGAGTCTAGCACACAGAGGAGGGTGGGGGCCAGCTCCTCACTGAGGACTGCCTCTGGTGAGGGTGAAGGTTGGCCTCCACAAAGGTGAGGGGCAGTGTGTCCAAGGTGAGATGGGGCTGTGTCTGGAAGCAGCCTACCTCTGACCTCTTATATTTTAGGCCCTCTGTGGGAGGGGAGAGCAGAGAGGCCTGGCCAGTGCCTCTGGAGCTCGCTGAGTGACTCCGAGGAAAGGGCAGGGAGCGCTGAGGCAGGCAATTGGGAGCAGATATTATCTCTGGCCTGTATCCTCTTGAGTGGCCTCCGTCCCTAGTTTGCCCTTCTCCTGGCAGTGAGAGGTGGCCAGCGCTGAGCTCAGAGCTCCCAGTACCCCAGGAAGCCCCTCCTGCTGACCCTGACTGAACCAGCATCTCAGGAACTGCTCTACATTCAGCCCCTTCCCTGCTGCAGCAGTCCTTCCTCTGCAACTCCAAGTTCAAGTTTAAGATGTACAGCATGATGACCCTTAGATCCTTCTCCCACTCTTTCAGGATGTTCCTGGTCAATCTCAGCAGAAAAAAAAATGAAGGAAGAAAAATCCATCTGGGGACTTGTTCTCTGTAGGCCGACCTTCCAGGCTGAGGTGGCCCAGGCCAGTGAGAAAGCCCCAGACGGAAGAGACTTGCCAAAGGGGCAGGAATCCCCATGTATGGAGCCCACCTCAGCGTTTGCTCAGTGCTGGCTGTGCCAACCCTGTTTCCTGGAGAAAGGCACTGAAGTGTGCTGAGGCTAGCAATCTCGCCTGGGGTCATGAGGTCAGAGGCAGAGTTGATCGCGGGTGCAGATCTCTTTCCACCTCCCTCGGAGCTCAGCTTATCCACATCCCTGCCTCTAACGCCCAAACCCTAATTCAGGAAGCTCCCTCAGGATGGTTGTCCAACTACTCAAACCCTTATGATGACAGGGAGCTCACTGCCACACAGGGCAGCCCACTTCACTGTGGGGTGGGGCCAGGAAATGGAGCCATGAGAAGGAGGGACAGTCATTCCTCTGCATGGCAAACTGAGACTGCAGTGGCGATGGTTGCTTGGGAGCCATTGGCTCCTCTGCACTTGGGCCAGAGAAGGAGAAGTGTTGAAGGTGTAGAACAAAATGGAAGCTCGTATCAAGAGCCTCTGAACAGACAGGGATCTAGGCCATGGAACAGGCCATGGAACAGGCCAGGGGACAGAGGAGTGC